CTCAAGAAGCTAGAGTCGCTCTCGGCTATCGCCTCGAGCGACTCTTACGCTTCTTTCGTGCTTAGCAACCTCCCGCGTGCATCCCATAACTCAATAGTGTACGCTGTGGTGTTTACCATTTGTAAAGTGTAGAGAAGAGTGTGGCGTGCGCGTAAACGGTGGAAGCAGCAGGAAGTGAGGATATGAAGGCCAAGGAAATACTGGAGAGAAAAGCAGAATTGACTTTTGTTCATTTGCGATTTATTTTATAATCAAAGGCTGGAAATAAAGTCAAAGGTGTTGGAGATTCTCATTACTTTGTTTTCCCACCTCCGTTAAATTGAAACAAGTAAAGTATATTATTTTATTTTCGTTAAGCAAAGTTAGTCCATCATTAAACATCTTTGTTCCCTGAAACCAGCTTCTAATTATGCCCTTCGCTTGTTTACTGAATGTGTCAGTGTTTGTTCCAAAAGATAACTCTTCACTTATGTAGCTCCTGTCTATTTGAATTAGCTGCCAGTCGGTTCGAGATTGTATCAGCTTTGCCATTTCTGAACCACTTAAAATATTTCTTTTGAGTAAAGTACTTAGTATATGAATAGTATTTAATGTACAGCTGTTTAAAAGATTTCCTTTCCAGTATCTTCGCCATGTAAAGTCTTTATTGTTCTCATTCTAATTATTCTTGTTCTCATTTGATAGCGGTGTGGTTGATTGGCGTACAGTAGAGCGTTTTATACATAATGCAGCAGGGTCAAAGTCCCCTGCTGGCTGTCCCAATTAAAATTTGAAGAAAGATCTCCAGCTCATGCTCATTCTGAGCCAATCAGGTAAAACTTGATTTCCTGTTAGTTTGATATCCTTAGCAAATAGTAACGTTAATTAGTCTGTAGGGTATCAATGCAACCCGTTAGGCGTAAACACCGCGAAAGTGCGATCTTCTAATACAACAAATGCATAACGCTTACTGAATGCGTGTGATACTTTTCAAAACTATGACAGGCTTGGGGAAGTTAGCCGTGTTCTTCGGATTTTTTTTGTTGCTAATTTTAAAAGAATCGGCGAAGGGTGGATCCAAACAATCGAGCCAACATCATGGTGAGCAGATATAATCCCTGATATTTTAAAACCGAATGTTGAACGATTCAAAAGCTTCTCTGAAAGTAATTCCAGTTTAAGTTACGAGTCTAAATCGTTAGGGAACGCATGATGATTCTTGCAAATATTTTGTTAATCTACTTTAAAAATGATTAAACTTGAATTTATTTAACGCTTCGCAACACGATTTCTGGGAGCGAAGTTTTTCTTGAAATCTACTGTACTAACGTAAAGAAACTTCCAACAATTCTTTACAAAAGTAAACCAGTCTATGCAAAGTAATTTGGTAATATCAACTAAGTTGAAATTGTAAATTGGCCACCGTAAAGAGTTAAAAAGCTGACGCGGTTTCGAGCGTTAGCCCTTCGTCAGAGTGGAACTTACCCACTCTATGCAAAAATTATTACTTAGTTTTCGATTTGGGCCTCACCAGAAAGGTATTTTCGAGGATAAAATAATTACTTGCTTTTCTTCTGTCTGTTCACAAGCA